CTATTACACTGTAAATAGCACACAAAACTGATTTTTTTTTTTTTTGGTTCATAACTATTATCCAATTCAGCAAAGACAACACTTACATCCTTGACAGATGAAAGAAGTTCCAACATATGACTTCACTGTTTACCTTTGTCTTACTCATAAACATTCATGAAAATATCAACTAACATGCGCACGGGAGCTACACTCAGAATTCTGGAAACATTTGCCAGATTCCACTGGCCCTGACCTACTGCTGAGCCTCAGCCCTGACCCCTGCTCCCGTCCTGGGGTGGGGGCTGGGAAAACAGAAGTCCAAAGGAGAGACCGTCCCTGCCCTCGGTGCTGCACACTGTTCAGCCAGAGGGAATGTCCCCTGCCTGGTGCCTGTGTCATTATTTTCCACCATGGACCACAGATGACACTCCATACCTACCATTAACAGGGGAATCTTGAAAATAGACACAGGAAGTTGCTAGATATCCATTCTTCCCTTGCCTTCTATTAAGCTACATTTAGTGTTCATATATATGATTTTAAGGCAATATAAGATCTGGATAATCAAAGAAAATTGAAGCCAATTCAACATTTCTCATGAAAACACATTTTAGAAAGAAACTTTAAACAAGTATTGAAACAAACAAAACCCTTTCTTCTTAAGTTTGAACATTCTCTTGCGACTTTTGTGAACTTGACTTCATATTACACAGTGACAAGAGTAAATACTTTGGGGTGGGAGGATGGCAATAAGAAAAGGGGAAAAAATGTTATGTTTCCCATATTTATTATAAAATTACTTTTTTAAGAGTAAAATTTCCAGTAAACAGAAGATGGTCCTTTAAGTACTTAGCTGAGGCTACTGGTTGGTTATTCCCAAATATTCATGTTCCCTGTTCCTTTAATAATTGAATTGCTGGATTTTAGCTCATCACCTGGTCACTCAGCAATACATTTTCCCATCTTCCTTGGAGCTAAGTGAGGCCAAGTAACTAAGTTCTGGCCAATGAGATGCAAGTGTAAGGGGTGTATACAACCTTGAGGGCTGGGCCCTTAAAGGGGAAAGACGTGCCTCCACTAGCTCTGTCCCCATTCTGCTGGCTGGACCAGTGGGATAGTGGGAACTAGAGGAGCCATTTAAGAGCATGAAGTAGGGACTTTGTGTTAAGATAGCAGAGCAATAATATAGAAGATGCCTGGGTCCCCAGCTCCATCAAGCCATCATTTCAACACTAGACGGCCTTCCCTGACTTTAATGTGAAAGAGAAGTGGTTAACTTATATCATCTTTAAGCCACCATTACAGCAGCTGATTTCTATCCTGAATAATACAATTACCAATACTTTAGAACATTTTCACCATTTGTTTTTAATATTTCAGGGATGAAATTCTTTCTAGAACATGTTACACTTTTCTTAACTCATCAAACAGAGCAGATAGAACATAACTTACTCTTTTTTGAATCAGGAAGCATAATTACTATTCTGACCAGTAAGCCAAAGAGATTATAGAGAGCAGAGAGTGGCCTCAGGCTGTAGGGGTTGGTTGATTCATTCCTAATCCCTGCAGTTTTTCTGACTCCCCTCACTATTAGACTGTCAAGGATCAAGTAAGGAAATACACACAAAATTCTTTAGCCCAGAGCCACAAACAATAAAGGTTACCTATTCTTGCTATTAGTATTAATTATTCTTATGTATTGGAGACAAACGGCTATTTTAAAACTCTCATACTTTTTCCTCTTCTTTTATTGGAATTCCAATCATAGACACAGAAACTAAAAATCCCAGTATGTGGAGACATTGAGTCATCTGTGTCTACAGGATGGAAGTTGGGGTTTCTCCTTGGTGCAGACCTTCTCTCTTTATCTCTTTAAGAAGACTTTGATGATCTTTTTAGTCATGGAATCTACCTATTGGCCTTGAGGAGTCTCTGAAGGAAGGACCTAAAGCAATAGCAGATGCTGCAAACGAGATGTAAAGGTTCTGTTTAACGAAGATGAAGCTTTGATGGCAGTTAGAGAACAGCTCTTCAGAGAAAATTAACCTTCAGAGGTGTTTGCTTCCTTTGACTTGGGCCGGGAGGCAGCGAGGCCCTAAACGATGCTCACAGCAGTGCATGTCCCAGCAACGTGGCTGTCGGCCAGGGCCGAGCGAGAGGTGGCCAGATGGACCCTGGGAGGAGGCACGACCTGTGAACTCTGGAGAACTGACTTCTGACCGCCAGTTGAACTTTCCCTTTTCTGCCTGTAATTCACTCGTGTTATTCTCAAGACTCAGAGAAGGGGTTAAATGTCACCACCTGTGTTATTAGTCTTAAAGGAGAAGCTTGTTCCTTCCTTGGACTAGAGTTTCCACCTGTGTAAGAACACAGAGCAGTGATTGACAGAGCAGCTGGGGACAGCACCAAGCAAAAAGTGACAGACATCAGCCAGCATAGACCTTCATACACTCAGCACAACCAGATGTTCTCAGAACCTCCTGGGGATGAGTCTGCCAAAGCCTCAAACACTTATTTTATTATGATAATATTGTTAATATAAATATATTATAACGTTATTATTGATGTGACAAAATTATGTTATTTATTATTTTATAAGATTAATATTGCATATTTTATTGTTCTATACTATTAATCTATTATCATAGAATTATGAGATAATTATTATTATCCCCTCAGGGTCCAGCTGTGTATGCAGTCTTCTCCCCCCAAATATCTTCGTCTTTAAATCTAAGGCTGTTAATAAACTGCTATAATCAAGCTTGTAAGACGTGTCTACAATAAAGGTACTCTGAGGGAGGGCTCAAAAGCATTTCCTTTGTCGTAAAATACGAGATCTGTAAGAGTAAACCAAGTAATATCTTATTCTGCTTGCTCAGCATTTTTAAGCAACTTCTGGCTCCCCGACTGTGTCCCAGATTGTTAAAATTGCCAAATTAGCGGTTATTTGGCAAATGGAATGAGACTGTACAGTTTCCTTGCTGGCTTCTCCACAATTAAAACTCTTCTGTTAATAATGGTAAATGGGGCTTCAGGGTCTAAGAAATTGTCAAAATAAAACTGAAGAGACCTCATAGTGTGCCAACTTCATTTTGCCAAATAGGACTTCTTAAAAATCAGCAAATCCTGACAAGATACAACACTTAATAAGATAAAATAAATAAAGTTTAACACCAAAATAATAGGAAGCAGATAGTTCAGAATAAAGGCTAATCCTTTCAATGGAATTGTTTTAGTTTTATGAAGCCTTTCAAATGGCTCTTATTTTTCTCATGTCACGAGTGGGTTGGAACTTCATGCAGACTGGCATCCGGCTCGGCCATTCTCCTCGAGCCCTTAGGGAGCTGTCTGGGAGCTGTTGGCCTGAAATAACCTCACACATCTCTCCACACGTGTGGAAGAGCTGTGGCCAGTTGCCCCCAGAAAAGAAAGCCTGTGAGGCGTGGGCGTGAGACCTGCCTGCTTTGTGCCAGGCCTGCATTCGCTGAGCATCCCAGAAGCCTCTTTCCTGCCCTGAGGTGTCTCTGAGTGTTAGGAGCACTGAAAACTGCCCTTTGTCGGAGACAAGAAAATTGCAAAGTCGGGTTCATTCCACGGAGTGAATTTCCATTTTTCCTGGCTGTAGAAATGCTGTGTCTGTCAGTAATTTTCATTCTTGGGTCACAGCTCCCAGGGGAGTAGGAGAAAGGCCAAATAGAAGAGAAAAGTTTTCAGTGTGTTTCTTCAGCTCCTGGATTTGCTCCCTGGCTCTATAAACAAAAAGGCTGCCCGGCTCCAGCCTTCCAGATGCAATTCCCAGACCCCGGCAACTGCACAGGTAGCTGAATGGGGAGACCTGCCCTGTGCCAGCTTCAGAGACACAATTCTGAAGCTGCTATGCCCATGAGGAGGAGTCTCCCTTTGTTAGAAAAACAACTGGTGACAAAAGACTTGAACTAAAAATTTTGACTAAAACCAACGACCCCCAAATAACTTCGTGTCACTTCCCCCACCTACCATTTTTATTTTCCAGTAGTTGAAAGAACTGCAAAGAACCAAAGGGATAAAAGCTGAATTCATAACCAGTTCTTCTGGAAGCTTCGCCTTTCTGCTGACCTGGAATAATTTCCATACATTTTCCTAAATCTATGGGAGTTAATTGCCAATTTGCATTTTGGTTTGAGCATTCAGATCTCAAGATGGAAACATAAGCTCTTTATTTCAAGACAAGTGAATGAAGGGAAACTTCTGAAGTTCATTTTCTGATGCCCAAAAGGCTTGGGGGGGGGGGGGGAGGTTCATCTTTCCTCTCCAGTAGCTTCTTCAAAAACATCTTAGAGGAGAAGCTAATCTGGGTTGCTTTATGCGACTGCAGTTACAGTGAAGAATTTACTCTCCACCCCCAGTCTCTCCAAATCATTAATTCCTAAAAGGGTCACGGGATTTTAACTTAGCCTGATATGCCTCCTTGGAGCCAAATTTGACGTCAGTACCTTTTATAAGCAGGAAAGTATGAATTAACACCCAACATTTTCAGGATGAGTCCCCGTATTGAGGCTCTATTTGGAAAAACTCTTCTATGTCCTTTGGTACTGGCCTGCTGGCATTATTAGTTTAAATGTCTCAGGAACATCATCTGCTTCTACTAAAATAAATGACGAATGAGTTCTGGAAAGTGGTTTTGAGAGCCGCCCTAAAAGGCACAGTGAGGGGAAAGCTCAGTGCCTGAAACATTCATTTAGATGCGAGGCTGAATAATGTGTGTTTAGCTCTGACCCTGAAATCTGCTCGCCTTACAACTTCCCCATCTGGTGTAATTTGCTTTCCCCGCTTGTAAAAATGCACACGAAGGCAACAGCATGCATTGTGTGCCCGTTGTAACAAGGAGGCCACATCCGTCACATGCTCCATTGACAGAAACCTATCGACCCTGCCTCTCCCCGGCTCCCTACCCGTCCTCACGTTCCCGCGGACTCCGGCCCCTGCACCCGTGCCCCAGCCCAACACCACTTTGCAGAAAGGAGATGATGGAGCCGTACCTTGTACCCGGGTTTCCGCCCTCTTTTCTTTGGCATCTTCACTGCTGGTAAAGAACCAGCTGAAGCGGAATAAAGATTATGAACTGCCATCTTCACGGGTGTCGAGTGCAGTGGGGGTCGGCCTCGCTTTCTCCCCGGGATCCTCTGAGACTGCATGTCTGCCGGTGCCAGTCTTACAGAAGGAAGTGACAAATCGCTCACGGGCAGGAGAGGTGCTAAGAATTAGTCCAGACACAAAGCAAAACAAAAAACAGAAGTGTTTGTTTGGTTTGCAAGGCAAACATGGATCCGGTTTGGTGGCTTTGGCCATACTACTCCTTACTGGAAGGGAAGACCAAGCCCAAGAGCCGGCACCGCTCGGGGTTTTTATGGTGCCGTCGAGCTCCCGGGATAACCTCCAGGACCACGAATTTGCTGGGACTCCAGTGAGGTAGGAGAGACCCTGGCTAGGTGGAGAGGACAGTGGATTCCCAGCTCCAAGCACAATTGACCATGTCACCAGTAACAAGACAACTTTGTCAGTGTCTCAGTTTCCTCAGTTAGTTCAACTTTGAACTGTTATAATAATGGTATCAAATGAACAACCATTCTCTCACACTCACTCCTACCCCTTTGGGTGGGTTATACATTGTTACGACCTTTTATCCTATGAAAGAAATTCAACATTAAAAATCAATTGTAGTAAAGTCCATTATGTCCCTCAATCAAATTGTGGACAGAGATTTACATACAGAAATATTTATTTTAATATGATTTAGAACTTCAAAAATAAAATGGATATAGCCCAAATAGCAAACAATAGGGGAATAGTTGATCTATCTACAGAATAAAACAATCAACTAGTTAAAAACCTTTAAAAATGCTCTTAATAACATGATGTTGTGTGAAAAAGCATCACACAAATTGTGCATAAATACGATCTCAGTTACACAAAAATGTATATGGTGAAAAAGTAGAAGAAAATGTGTTAAAATGTTACCATTGGCAAAGATGGTGGGACTCTGGGTAACTTCACCAAGTGCAAATCCTTTCTTCTGAGTGGATATGCCACATACTATAATATTCTCAGCATTAAAAAAACTAACATCGAGTTTCTCAAGTAGTGTTGACCAAATCTTTCAGCAAGAGCTAGTTGCTCATCCCCAACCCAGAGATCACAGCCAGTACCATGAGCTCATGGGTCAGATTTCCTGGATGTTCAAGAATGTGACAAATGAGACAGAATTTTTTACTTTAACTCAGGGGTGATGTTAGGTAATAAAAATAATTTCTGAGGATTACTGGTAGCTAACAGCGGAAATGAGAGGCTCTTGCTCAAAAGGCTGCAGAAAGAGTGAAGACGATGGAAGCAGTCCCTACCCTGCTCTGGGCAGTGCTGCAGGGACTAGACTGGTTTGCTCAAGGAGGAAAATAGCAAATAGGAGAAATTCTTCAAAACATGGCAGGGAAAATTTGGGGCATTTTTTTTTTTTTTTTTTTTTTTTTGGTACGTCCCCCTAGCGGGAATCGAACTCGAGACTCTCTCGTCCGCAGGCTGATGCTCCAACCACTGAGCCAAACCAGACAAGGCACTGGGCATTCTTTATAGATGTAAGTTCACTCTGAATATTAATAATATTCTATCAATAATCTTGATTGTTCTTGGAAATGTCATACCCAGTAAATAGAGTTTTTAAGCATAAATTTATTGATTGCATTGTGAAATAGTTCAGCTAGATGAACATGCAGTTGAGTATATTAATTTTCCCTGCTCTTGTCAGTTTAAGAGAAATCCCATATCTCACTGACCCCAGGATGCACATTTTTCACACATTAACATCTTCAAAATCAGGGTGCACCATACAGCACTGTGAGCACATCAGAATCCCACAGGGAGCATTTTTTTTCTTTCTTAGTAGTAGATGAAATAGTGATGTATGATGTCATCAAAGACATCTGCGAGTCAAGGAATTATGATCAATGAAGATAAATCCATCAACATGTAAACTAAGAACATTATTCTGCTTCTAGGCTTCATGTCTGTACTTCACAATGCCGACAAATATCCAAAATAATTCATTTTCAAAAAAGAGGCATCCAAAAACATTGAAAAACCACCAAAATATAGCCATTAAGATTGTTACTATGTAAAACTTGGTCTGAGTACCAATGTGAACTACCATGATCAAGTTTCTCCTTCATTATAGTTTATCTTTATAGATTTTGGAAACAGGAACTTTTCCTAGTCTAGGGCATGTTTCTCTACTTGTCTACTTGACCTCTAGTAAGGAGATCTGCAATGTATCGACTAACATCAAGATCAAAAGTCAGCCAGAGAAAACCCACGATGAGAGATGGTGCTTCATCTCCAGTCCTCTTGAAGGGCCGATTGCTGCACCCCCTCCGTGGTGAGTTGGGATACTGTGCGGAAATTATTCCCTCACAAAACTCTTGTTGAATAGGTTTTGAAGAGTAAAGAAAGGGTAAAAAATTAATTTGCATAGTATCCTAAAAATATGTATCATTCAAAATTACAATGAACTATCCCAAAATTTCTCAGTATGTCAGAAAAAAAAATTTCCTGGGGGAAAAAAGTCATCATTTAAACTGCTTTTTTTTTTTTTTTTCCCTGTTGTCCTACTTTCCTCTACCTACTTGAGGAAAAGCCAGGACTTGTGCTGCTCTTCATGTCCTTCCATAGAAGCACATCCATCTTAGTACGAAGGACCTAAATCTGATCAACAAATTTTATGCTAATAGAGCAACAATGACCCATTTTTGGAGGCGTACAAGGCACCTCAGCAACTGAGAGATAGTTGGAGATAGGAAGTCTTCCTACAGTCTCTTCAGTGCACCACACTTGAATGGTTACATAGTTCATCCACTAGTCAGGAAGATACTATTTCCCAGTTCCTTGTCACAGATAAATACAATTTTAAGTAACAAGACAGAAGACTTAACAATTGTCTCCTTAGAATAATTGTTTTTTTCGTTATTGATTTTAGGGAGAAAGGAAGGGAGAAGGAGAGAGAAAACATCGACTGGCCACCTCCATGCTCTGACCGGGAATTGAACCAGCGACCTCTTGGTGCATGGGTCGACGCTCAACCATTGAGCCACACCAGCCAGGCTTCTTAGAATAATTTTGAAGAGATGTTGGAGGAAAGCCCTTACGACGTGGTCTTTTAATAGCTGACTTTGGAAAAGATGACGAAAGTTCGGGATCCTCCAAAGTCTCTCTTTCCAAAACTATGACGTGACAAAAGAAAAGTAAAAATAGCAAAGACCAATACTGAAAATAAGAAGAGTCCTTATTGTTGGAATCTTGGAATGCAGTGGAAACAAGGCAGATGAAAATTTTTTAGAGAACAGAACTATGGAAAATGATGACAATTTATCAAATGTTTAGGGAAAAGGTCAAAACTATAGAAAAGGAATATTCTCAAAGATATAGTAAGAAGCCATCTTCCAGAATAAAGAGGTTCTCTGTAGGTTCAGAAAATGTCTTTTAAAATGAATCTTAATAAATCCTAATAAAATAATAATATTTACACTAATAAAATAATATACTTAAAGACAATGAGAAAAATCTATAAGAATTTAGGCCGAACATTTACAATAGGAAAAATAAACAGGCTAATTCTCTTTAGCACCATTAGCCGGAAGATAATGGGGTTACCATGATGCCCTTTTTTCAGAGATTTATAGTTTCCACATTGACTCTCACCACAGGGCCTTTGCAGAGATGGTTCCTTTGCCTAGAATGCTCTTTCTCCCCACTCAAGGAAGCTTGTCCTGACCGCTCATTCATGTTTCCCAAGCTTAGAGCTCCTCAGATGTGCTACCAACCCACTGCATGTGCGGCGCCTGCCACGGAAGCTGGACAAGAGAAGCAGATGGGAACGTTAAAAATTATACCCCTGCTGTGCCTCTGACCTAGGACTTGATTGTCTTCTGCCAGCACAATAATACTGTGACAGGTTAACTTGTTTGCTTGCAGAAGATAAGACCTCAGACCCTTCAGTTCTTCATAGAGATTTAATAAGTAGGACTTACATTAAAAAAAAAAAAAAAAGAAAAAGTAATGTTTTTAAAAAAATCTACTTGTACTAAAATAAGACTTGAATAATTAAAAAAAAGATTATTCTATTTGACAGATATATTTTAAAATGTAATTTTTACCTAGATTATTCTATAGATTAAGTGAAATCACGTTAAAAATTCCAAGTGACTTAAGGAAAAGAAGGATAAAACAAAAGCCAGCAGGGAAGACTTGTCCTCTTGGTTCCTAACTATGTTATGAGACTACAACCATGGCCACAGTACAGTACAGGAACAAACAATCTGATCAATGAAAAAGTTAGTCCAGAAATTAAACATATATTAAGTTTCCATCTGTTGGAAGTTTAGGATCATTTTATATCAGTGCAGGAAAGCTGAATAAATGAGTTGTGGACAACTGGCTCTTAGAAACACATAAAATTTTAGCTATCCTTCAGCAAAATAAATTCTAGAGACACCTAAGACTAAAATATTTTTTTAATTAAAAACATTAAGAAGTACTGAAGATAATATCGGTTGCATTTTTATACTCTTGAGATGCTGATGGTCTTTCTAATTTTGATGGAAAACTCAGGAAATCTAAGTATGATAGAAAGGCCACTAGACATGAGTACACAGAGCTCAAACGTTCTCATGTAGTAAAAGTAAAATCATGAAAAAGATTGAAAATAAATGAAAACCTGAGGAAACGATTTGTGCTACCTATGGACCAAAAAAAGGTTAATACAAATAACTTCAAATTATCAAAATGAAAATAAGCACTCTACTTAAAAATGGGCAAAGAACATAATTTACAAAAATGGGAGAGAAAAAAGAGAATAGAGAGAAGAAACAGAAATAAGTGTTCAATTATCACAAGAAAAGATTCTAAACTTTACTGATTCTTAACCTCCCAAAAATGTAAATTAAGATATCCCTTGTGGATCTCAGACTGATAAATGTGAATAATCCTGAAAATACTCTCAGTGAGTCAGGGGAGGAACAGGTGGAGATAGGAATTAGCTAACCTTTCTGGAGGACAATTTGAAAATCACTTGCAAACTTGACACATGCCCATTCCCCATCCAGCTGTATTTTCCCTAAGGATTTCTCCTAAGTAGATAATCTAAGAAGAACACAAAGATATATGGCCAAGGATTTTTTTGCATATTAATTATAATAGTAAAATACTGGA